TTTATCAGGGCAAAAGCTGTCAATTATGGCACTGGAGAGCACAAGGTTTTCTTTAAAAAAGCAGCTTTTCTGGGAATAGGTAGCATGCTTTTATCGTTGTGAAAAGCTGTGGAACATTAGTGGTGTGTGTTGCGTTTGACAGCTGTCATTGCCCTGTGATAAGGTTCTTCTTCGACCTTGTAATTTATCTATTTACAGTATTTTTGTTTGGTTTTCCTCTGCCAGAGAATTACGGCAAACAGATGTAATGTAGCATGACTGGGTTTACACACCAAATTTAAGGAAATGTGTCAAATCTTGGCTGTGATGTAGCGTCCGAGTGAATTTGGTCTTGTGGCGTGAATGTGACATGGACATTCATCAGAAAAGCTTTAGACACTTAACAATCCTTTATATTGTCTGAACCTCACGAAGGAGAAACACGGAGGAGACAACACATCGATCCGAATCCTGTCTTAGTGATTTATTTTGGCTGTCAGAACCACGCAGTCCATCGAATGAATGTTCAATATGTTAATGTACTGGCGTTTTCTTCTTGGTTGTTTGGCTTCTTGTGCTCAAAGCATGATCTTGAGGATGACTGTATAATGTTTTGGGTGGTTGTGTTTTGTGGGGTACTTTCATCTCTTGCATGTTGGTGGCCCCTCACAGCCCAACATAAAGTGGGAAGGGGATAACGGGGAGGGGGAGGGGAGCTTTAATTACAAGTACATAGTAACCATTCATGTATTGCAACACTGGGACTTTTATAACTTCACATCAATGTTGCTGGAGTGTTCTCCCTAAACGTTTACCCCATAGCTGGATGTATAGTTTTGAAATACTGTGAAACTACAACATGTTATCGTCTCTGGTTGTTTTGCGCTGTTATATTTTATAAAAGTGTGTAAGTGTTCAGATAGCCTGAATGTATTCCATGATGGGTTGGAGAGATAGTACGATTTTTTTATTTAATTTTTTTTATATGCCCTGCCAGTAATTTTTCCTCTGCTGGCCAGAGTAATAACTGCAGTATTTTAATCCTTCACGATGCACATAACATGCACTTAAAATTGAAATGGAAAGTGCTTGAAATTGATGATGTAGCCGAACCCTTCAGAATATGACCTTAGCGTAACGGGATAATGAATTAAGTATTGCTGCTAAAATGTATTTACCTAATGCAATAAGTCATGAAATGGGGTGATGCGCTTTTGAAAGTGTCTTAGATAAACTTTAACATTTTATAACTGATCTCTTAGATTTAACATTAATATAAGGTAACACTGAATACAGGATATAATGCATCATGGAATACAGAGGCAAATACTTGTATGTGCCACATCATTTTGTGTTTTGAAGTGATTTTGTTTGTCTCATTCCAGCTGTTTGGCATGCAAAAAAAGAGGAGTAATCATGGCTTGATTGTGTGTGTGTGTGTGTGTGTGTGTGTGTGTGTGTGTGTGTGTGTGTGTGTGTGTGTGTGTGTGTGTGTGTGTGTGTGTGTGTGTGTGTGTGTGTGTGTGTGTGTGTGTGTGTGTGTGTGTGTGTGTGTGTGTGTGTGTGTGTGTGTGTGTGTGTGTGTGTGTGTGTGTGTGTGTGTGTGTGTGTGTGTGTGTGTGTGTGTGTGTGCGTGTGTGCACGGTCCTGGTATTCTGTCATTGAGAGAGTGTAGGTCTTTAAAACACACGCAGAACCATTACTGTGCTGTATTTCTGACTTGACTGCTGCTATACATTGTAGTTGTGTTTCACTACTTGAATATGTGTTTTCTATGTGTTAACCTCAGGTTGTCTGTGTCCAGTGTTATTTGTTATCATTTCCCCCATGTGTACGCCTTCATGCATCTCCTCTCAACAACTAAAGATTAGTAAATATCTCGCCCTTCATATTAAAGATGGGTAAACAAGCGTGTTAATTGACATTAATCGTATATGTGTGCAACACTGCTAGCTGTCAAATGTGATTACAGTTGCAAAGCAGGGGGAAGAATAAAATGGTTACATACTTCATGTACTTTTGTCAGAAGTGATTGTTATAAGACTGGTAAATATTTAGTGTAATGTGTACACAATGCCTTGAGAGCAAATACGTTGAGGTTTTGTTGGTGTTTGCATTAGATGAACTGTATCTAAAGGAAGCGGTAACACCTCATTTAAAAGAAAAGAAATAGGTTGACAACTCATAAAGATAATGTTATAAGCATAATTTGCAAACATCAGTTCGACTTTCTATGAAGCTTTACTGAAAATTTGTATTTTATAAAAGCGCCCACCAATATTAAGGAATGTCTGGTCAAAGAACTCCTGTATTCTTATTTAGCCTTTGAACTTGATTAGACTATCTGCCTTCATCTTTTTTGCTAATAATGATGATGATTTGAATTTTCTTTTTTTAATAAGCTGCTGACATTTTAAAAAAGTAATACTTTTGGGGCCACCAAATATTTTGGATCATGCAAAGAATCTATATTGTACTGTAGTAATTTTGTAATATTTGTAAGATGATATAGTGGATGTGACTGGTTACCATTGCTTGAATCTGTACATTGTTCCAATAAATTGTTTACATTATACATGGGTCTGTTTCTTGTATGTTCTCAAAGTGTAAAGCATTCATCTTGCTGCAGCTGCACAAACATTAACAAGAGCAGGGACAAAACTCATGTTGATTCATCTGTCAAATTTGTAATAATAGGTGTTTTTTGTATATTATATAGATAACCCTTCTTGTTACAAGGGCAAAGATTTAAAATGTGCCCCCCTCTCATTTCTTTAGATACATGTCATTTATCAATTAGACCAACAACATTAATACTTATTTTTATTTAAAAAGAACAATTTCACCCCAGGTGTCACACATGCATATAGATAGAAAGCAAACACTTGTGAATGATTTCCTATTAATTGTCCAAACGCTACTATTGTAATAGAAGCTGTGCCAATATGACAATGTAGTGTTGAGAAAGCAACCCAGCACTCAGAAATTGCTCTAATTTCCGGTTGTTTGGTTACTTGTCATACCTATCCACAGATAATATAGAACTGATTGTAAAAGTGCAAGGAGTGGACACATATTGAACATTTAACCCTCTATGGTATGATGTTGCCTCCAGGCAACATACCCATTTTTTGCCTTTTACATTCACACAATACATCTCAAATTATGATGCAATACTTTAAAGGGGACCTATCATGCAAAATGCACTTTTTTATGTCTTTTATACATAAATGTGTCCCCGGTGCGTCGGGGAACTCACGCAGCGTCAGAAAATAAAACCCTTTCTCTTTTCCTCCGTACCCAAATCTTTTAAAAACGGAGACGAGCGGATACTTTATTTGCTATGGAAACTTGTTAAAATGCACCATCGTACCATTATGGTAAATTGTAAATGTTGCCTTGAGGCAACACCGTACAATTATGGATTCACCATGATATTGTGGTATTGTGTGTTTAGGTATAAACTGTTGAAAAGCATACCAGTCATCATAGATCTCTACAATTTAACCAAGATACATTTGATGTTAAAGCCAACCCAACGATCTCTATGCAAAGATGGGATAAGAAAAAGAAAGAAACAGTGCAGGTTACCTGCCCAAGTGTTGTGCATGCATACAATAAAAGTATGAGAGTTGTGGATCTTCTAGACTCGCTGATTGCTCTCTACAGAACAAAGGTCAGGTCAAGGAAGTGGTATCACAAGATCGTGTTCCACATGATGGATTTCACTCTATGATTTCACTCTAGTGAATGCGTGGCTCTTGTACCGCAGGGACTGCAAAGGACAAAGTGTACAGCCTGCTGAAATTCAAAGTTGAAGTTGCAAATTGCTTTTGCAACGAGAGGAAAGTCTTGAAGAAGAGGGGGAGACCATCTCATAATGTTGACACAATAACTCTCTTTTTTCATAACTTAACATTATGGTACAGTGTTGCCTCAAGGCAACGCACCCCAAAAAGTACCCCCCAATAATTATTTCTTGAACATTTCTTTAGATTATGTTTATTTGGTCTATTCTATGACAAAACAACTCTCAAAATATTTTTCCCCAAATGGCATCATAGTGCCTACCATAGAGGGTTAACAATGAATTTATGGTTCACTTTTTGATTAAAAAAAATGTTAAATTACATTCATAAATGTAAAACAACCCATAGTACCACAAATCATCAGTCATTGTTTTTCTTTTTTGTGAGTTTAAAGAAAATGTGTAAAAAATTCCTCGCTGGCAAACTCTGTACTAAATAACTTAAAGGTGCGGTAGGTACTGTACATTTGAGAAACCGGCTCAAGATACACTTTTTGTTATATTCCATGGAATGCTCTTAACATCTCGATAGCAATGAATATCTTAAGTGCTTTGACAAAAAATCCATAAAAAAATGTCATCTGTGGAAGCCGTAGTACTGTAAAAAGCACGACCAATCATTTTAGCCAGTCCGGCTAAAATAACTGGATGGCCTACCTGCCTGTCAGCCTTCCATCTGTGCACACATTTATCTCGTGCCCTCATTGGTCATGTGCGCGTTCATGTGTGTTGGAGGGGGGGCTCTGTAAGGAAGTAGCAGATTTCTTCCGGCTGTGTATTTTCAAATTCTAGAGCACTCGAGCTGGTTTCTCCAAAATTACCTACCCCACCTTTAATGCACACCTGCATAAAATAAATCGGAATTATTAGATGAGTGAAGAGTAAACTTCACAAGTTGTGTTCACAGCTGGTTGGAAAATGGCATAATATAATATGATACAATAAACTATTATGTTATTTCGTATGTATCTGAGCTAGCAACTGTTTATTTTCGTTATCAGTCAATTATGACAGACATCTTTTAGGCTAATTCGCAGCTTTCTTTCCTTCAATATACCACTGCAACATTTTCAGCCTACTACATGAGTACAGGAGTTTACGCGAAACACATGAAGGCAGCATTTTACCGAACTAGTGTTAATCCGCCAAAGGAGGCGCTATTTCTTCCATAAAATGTAAACGGGAAGAAGCCATAGGGGAGAGAGACGCAATACAGACGGGTGGAGGTGGAGTCTTTAGGTGGGGAGGGAGAAGAAAGGGGAGAGGAGGAAAACGGGGAAAGGCAGATACAACAGAAACGGGGGGAGGACGGTGGATGATTTACGCTTTAAAAGTTGCCTTACAACACATTTAAGAGTTGCGGCGAAGAGGAATAAAACAAGATGATAACGCCCTACTTCCTAGAGAATTTCTGGGTAGGTTGTGCTTTTATTCACGTTGTTTACAACCGGTGCTATTCCTTATTATTCTGTTCCTGTGTTCCCTCCCTATCATGGCCATGTCAGCCAGGAATCAAATGTTATTAACGTTGCAGAGGTTCATAGCTTGCTGCTGTTGAGCCGGTGGTGTCCGGTGCCGCCAGACTTACTGGTCAGCAGCCCCCCGGCCATCGTTCATTTTCCTCGGCGATTATTATTTTGCCACCCCGGGGGTTTGGGCCTCTGTAACCCATCTAACTTGAAACCTCGAAGAGTCCACCCTTGCTCGCGCTAATTGGCTGTCTCAGGCTTGCTTGGAATGTTTATGGTCATTTCCTTGAATGCTATTGGTCGCCTTGGCTGTCATTCACAGCCCCTGGACGTACGCGTCATTTTCTTCCGTAACAAAGTTTCAGTGAGAGACCAGATGTTTAGTAAGTTAGAGAACAGCTTTAAAAAAACACGAAATCACTCTCCTACTGTATCAGATATTAAGCCTATATTTATATAGTGAGTGCTGAGGTATCTGTATTACTAATAAGCGGTATACAGTGTTATCTATTTACTTCCGAAAGGACATTTCTCTTCCGATTTGACGTGGCTGCGGTAGCAGGTTGAAAAGTAAAAGCAATGTCTTAACCAAACCACCGAATCATTACCTCCTCAGTGCTACCTTTACAACAACCTGTTGGTCTTTTTGTATTGCTTTGGCAAAACCCTAAAGCCCTAAAAATAGACTGTTATTGAAAGTGAGAGAAATTCCAGCTTTATTTGGGCTAACAGCTCTAAGCTAAGGCCAACGATTGTATACATTGATAGCACTGTTGCAAGTATGGGTCATGTTTGAATTTGTCTTGAGTCATTTAGACAGTTGTTAATGCTGTTATCTTGCTTGACCACTCTAAAGAGTTTTGATCAATAGGCAAAGATAAATGGGACGACTGCAAATGGGATATATTTGCTAATAACTGTGTTATTGCTTTGCTCTGTTGGTTATCTATGATGATACAGTTTGTTAAAAATGTAGTGCTTCAATTCAAATTCATATTGCAAACATATGCATATGCACTGTGCAATATCTGAGGTAGTATGCAGTACATTTATTGCTCGGAATTTGGATATGATAATGTGTATAACTATTGTATTTTAACCTTCTTCAACTTCTTATATTAATCTTTTCAACTTTAGCTTTCTTCTTTTAATGCGCTGTATCACCAATTCAAATTGTTGTGTACATTTGGCGAATGAAGAATGATACATATTTGAATGGATTAAGTGCTTCTTTGTTGATTAAGAAGTTGCTACATTACTATTTTCCAGGCTTATGCTACAATACAAAGTACTGTCACATAGCCAACACTCATATTGCATCTCCGTCTTCTCTAATGTGGGAAACACAGCTTTGGTTTGTCGCCTCAGTGGACCTCACTACCAGCTAACAAAGCTGATAACATTAGCTGTGTTACTGAACATTACATTAAGTAAAGTCATTTTTAAAAGTGCAGTGCTGTCAACCCAAAAGCCCTTTTCTAAAGGAGACTTCATCATGAACTAAATGGAGGAGAGGAGAGCCGAGACGCTCTTGACTCTTCAATCTGCCCTTTGTGCCCTGTATGGGGACACAAGAGAATCCAGTGATGGCAAAGATCAGCTGTGTGTTTAACATGCAGGACACACACACACTAGGCATTAGGAGTTGCATCCATTTCCCTTTGACTTGACTACAAATCATCACCACAAGCAGACACACTAGTCTTCACTTTTGAGAATACACCTGTCTCCGCTCTTTGCTCTTTCACTCTGTGGCCAGGATACATTTTCAATGATTCTCTTCTTTGTGTGCAATCTTGGCATGAATCTGTAATAGACAACATGACCCCTCAGCTGAATAAACATGTTCTTTAGGAATTAGGAGCCAGACATGGAACCGCCATGCTGTCAAAGCTGCAGCACTTTTTTTGTCCCTTCTACATTTCCGCTCAGTAGATTCGTGTTCAAGTTTCGCATGTCCGTTTCCCTTTTTCTGTGTGAAATGTGCACGAGTAAGCTTAAGTTAACTGAGGCCTGTCGAGGAAAGTCTGCATGGGAGATTGTCCCCACATGTGCTGAAATATCTCAGACAGATGTCAAGTTAGCAAAAGCAGCAGGTAGTTGGCCTTAACTTAATGTTTTTTAGCAATACTTCTATGATAAGTACATGCTTAATGTGGAGTCATGGGAAAATCAGATGGCAGCGTGATAAGCAAACAGTGTTGGCGGGATGTCTTTCTCCTCCCTGCTGTGTGTGTGTGTGTTTGTGGTCTAATAGGTTCTCACACTCCAGTTTTCACAGTCACTGTCGCTCAAGTGTCGCAATAACAGCAAAAACCAAAGAAACAAGAAGAGATCAACAATAGTGACATTGACACATTTCCTTTCAGCTTTCACACGCTGCCATATTGCTTTCAGTCTTTATCTGTAGAGGGAAGATCTTGCTGAGTTTTTGCAGTGAGTTGTGAGAATACCGTCCCCTTAGGGTGAAACGGTTTGGATCAACATTGACTTGTGTTTGCACTCGTAACACATATCCTTCCTCGTGGTGGTTGTTTTCATTTTTATGATTTGTGTGTGATGAATTCCTTTTTCAACATTCAAAGGCAGTCAAATACAAAAAATGAAATTAGTGCAAGAAGAAACAGGGTACAGAATAATTGAAATATATGTTATTATTATTCCAGTAGCCATACACTTGATGTCCCAGCCCGACTCTAAGTAGTGGTGAAGTTCCTCCACATTTATGTTTATCCCCCAAACAAAGCCCGGCTGTGTGTGCTCACCACATACTACGCTCTGTTTGTCTGATGTGACAGCTCAGTGCACCGCTCCCAGACCTCCCTGGTCACATGACCCAGGGCAGACACTGTGATGTCATGCTGCTGTCTCCCCGCTCTGTGCACAAGGCTCCGGGGACTACACCAGGCCATCGTGTACCGTCTGTCTGGAGAGAGGCTCGTGTTGTTGAATCCTCAGTGAATGTGTGCAGTCATATTCCTTTCCAGTGCTTTTACCTGAACACAGAGTAATGTCCCCCGGGACACTCTGAGCACCTGATTGTTTCCTGTTTACTGAGCTGCTAGTGGAAATGATATAACCAAGACTTCCTATGGACACTTCGGCTACATGTGATACATTTTGCACCATAATGTGATGAATGCACATACTATGTACGCTACAGCAGTGACAAATCCTTTTTGTTAGTTTGCTTTAAAAATGAAGAGAAATAGGTTTCTTGTAAAGCTAATCTACTTTGCAGCCTGCTTAGCAATATGGTGTATTTAACATGTAACATTGAAGCAGCATATCTTTTATTGTCTTAGGTGTAGTCTAATATTCTATTTTAAGCACATTATATTTAGTTAATCCTATTCAGAAGTTTTATTTCCATACAAATGCTGTGCAAATCATGTATTAAGGCTGCAGCTAACTATTCTTTCTATTAGTAATTTAACACTAGATTATTTTCTTGATTAATTCATGATTAATAAAATACAAATAATGACACTTCTCATTAGCTTTAGCCCCTAGATGGACACTACCTTGAAAATAAGACAATGTATGATAATAAAATGAATGGAAGTTTTGAGAGACTTTCTGTCTTAGTTTTTCATTTTAGTTATAGCAATAGGCAGTAAAATATTGGAAGATAAGCAGCTCTCTCTGTCACGAGATGCCTTACTGCGTGTCTGGCCATAAACACTGGATTCCCTAAACACAGGAGCTTGGAACTGGTTTTATACTCAGAAAGAAAGAAAGTGAATTCCTGTCCTCCTCTTTCCGGCAGATGTTACATGATCAACTGCAGCACTGTGGTTTTGTTTATCAGTCCTTAAAGGTGTTTTCTCAGATTAAACATTGGCCTTGTAACTGTTTCTTTTTGTGTTTCTCACCCTGTAATAACAGGGATGTTACTGTTGTGTGAAAACACAATCCTGTGTCTATTCCAACAGCAGTCTGTGGTGTGTGTTCTGGCCACGGCTTCATGAAACAGACTTGAACCGAGCCTTTTGATTCTACCACTTCCTGTATCTCATACTTTAAATAGACTCAATTATTGACGCAGGTATCTGTTTGCTCAGTACAAATGAGAAAGAGTGTCAATAGGGCATTTATGAGACTGCTGTGTCCGACTCCTTTTGGTTATTTTATTATATGGTGTATTTAGGTCTCTGTGTTTCTATATTTTGTATTGAAGGACAAAACATTAACAGGACAAATAGGGCTGAAACGTCGACCTTTTTCACTGTCAACTATTCTTTGGTAAGAAATTCATGAAAAATGCCCTTACAATTATCTATTGCCAAGTTGAAGTCTTTAAGTGGCTGGTTCTGTGCAAGAAGCAGTGTAACACCCCAACATAAATCAGGTTAAATATCATGAAGACTATAAGTAGTGAATCTTCACATTTGAAAAGCTACAACAAGGGAAAGTTTGGTGCTTTTGCTTGAACATGTATTTAAACATCACGTAGTGTTTTGTGGAGTGTGTGTTCTGTGTTCTTATGGCGCTTTTCCACTGCAGGACCTAGCACGGCTTAGCACAGCTTAGTTTGGCCTTGGTAGGCCAGGCTCACATTAAGCTGCATTTCCATTACAGTTTAGTAACCGGGGTAGTTACTATAGTAACGCAGGGTAGGCGGGGCGATCGGCTGTTCGGCGGGCGGAGCGACGCTGCGTAAAACTGCCGTGACGTCATCTTCAATGCGAACCACAAAACCAAAACATCAGCCGTTAGCTGTTAGCACTCAGAGCTCACAGCTCCTCATATCTGTTCAGAAACTAGACAAAAGTTAAACAAGTACAAACCACAGACTGTCTGTGTCATGGTGAATACAGTCACTGGTTTATTTATGTCTGTAGGCCGTTGTTGTGAGTGTGGACGGAGCATATACAACGTTAGCTTAGCCTGGTCGACCCGATCTCCATTCAGAAAACACGCATTTTAAAAGGTTTTCCGCCTGC